GGAAGGAATGTTTGGGATTGATTGGTTACTGTTAAATCTTGTATTTAAGGTATGGTAGGATGCTCTTTTGGAATGTAATAGCAAGTAGTCGAGTATATATATATTCATACGTTTTGCTATGTAAAGACACAAGAAAATAAAGAAGATTTTTTCTCAAAATTCTTTCAACTCGGAGCCTTATGGTTTAATTTTTCTCTCTCTTGTCGACCTTGATGAGGAATCCAGGCGACCATGTCATCCGAGAAGCCACTCAAGACGAACAAGACTAGAATCTCAGATGATATTCCACAACAATGTACGATTTCTCTGTATGATCTTCATGGGAATGATAATCGTGGATTGATTATCATGTAGGTAGTTTTCAAAGGTGAAAACTAGGCCTAATAGCTTCGGTGCCCCCTGTGGTTTGGAAAATTGGCACCAATACCACATCCGTTTTCAAAACTTATTTCTAAAGTCTCTGTGGTTTCAAAACGTTGCACCCACACCCCCTCTGGTCATTTTCCGGCCATTTTCCGGCGAAGAGGGGGCATTGGCGCATAATTTCTAAACCATAGGGGGTACTTGTGCTCATTTCTTATTTTTCGTTTATTATTTGTGTTTTGCTTCTTTTTCCTTTTCCTATATTTTTTTAAAATTTCTTTTCAATTTTTATAATGTTTTAAATTTTTTTAAAATTCTTTGTGTTTGAACTAATAAAAAAATTAACATACATTACATCTATCTCAAATTAAACATTTTCACTTTTTCTTACATAGAATAATTTTTGGAAAGTTCAAAAAGAAAACCGAAAATAAAAATATGGGAAAAGAAATGAAAAATTTAAAATACGAAAAAAAGAGTCTTCTAAAAAAACAATTTTGGAATACGCCTTAAAATATCCTTAAAATTGAGATGTCGAAAAAGGATAATCATTTTTATTTTTGTATTATTTTGTTTCTTATTTTATTCATCATTTTTAGAAGTTCTAAAAGAATTACCTTTTTTCGGTAAAAACAAAAAATTGTTAATTTGAGACGTGCCGATGCATTATATGTTAATTTTTTCAAACAAAAATAACTCTAAATTTTAAGAACATTATAAAATTAATTGTAAAATAACCTTTATTAATAAATGAAACAAATAAAGGAAAAAATTGTGGAAAAAAGAGAGAAATAAAAAATCAGCATTGGGATCCCCCTGGTTTAGAAAATATGCACGAATGCCCCCCTTCTTTGCCGGAAAAATGACCGGAAAATGATCAGAGGGGGCACGGGTGCAACGTTTTGAAACCACAAGGATTTTAGAAATAAGTTTTGAAAACAAAGGGGGTATTGCTGTCTATTTTGCAAACCACAGGGGGCACTGACGCTATTTGGCCGTGAAAACTAGGAGCAATGGGTGTGTGCTATTCACACCGCATGGACTTCGGGCATGAAAAAGTTTGGTTTTGTGGACGGATCGATCCCACAACCACTTGAGGGTTCCAGTGATCTTGAAGATTGGTGGGCGAAAAATTCACTAATTGTCTCGTGGATACAAAACACAATTGAATCTTGTCTTCACACCAATAATATTTCTCACACGGAGATAGCGAGTGAGTTGTGGGAAGACATCAAGGCCTAATTCTATGTGGTAAATGGACGACAGATACAATAAATTAAAAGAGAATTAACAACATGCGATCATCTGGGTTGAACATCACCTCATATTATGGGAAACCGAAGAAACTACGAGATGATCTCAACGATGAAGCCGTTTTTGATGGGTTTATTAGATGAAGCCGTTTTTGGTCACCTCCGCTCCATGATTTTATCACAAGAACCTTTTCTAACTACGGGGCGTGTCTATTGCCTCTTAATTCAAGAAGAAACTGCTCTAGCATCGGACAACCTTGACTGTTCAGAAAAAAAATAACTTTTGTTGCTCGTGGTACTCCATTCGTTGATCCCTCTCATAGTAAAATTATCACATGTAGCTACTACAAAAGGACACGCCATGACAAAGATTTGTGCTTCTAATTACACGAATTTCTTGACGGATGGGGGCGCGTGCAGTGGTCGTTGTAGCAACGGTCGTGGGCGTGGGAGAGGACATGCATAGCATAATGGTCATGGTACAATTACAGTGCATGATGCGCATGCTGTAACTACAAATGCAGCTGCAAGAAGTTCCAATCCGCAGCCTATGCTGTTAGAAATGAGTTCCTATGCTAGAGGGGGGCGGGGTGAATTGCGTTTAAAACAAAAGTTGTAGGAATAAAAAAATAAGAGCATGAAACATAAAAGTGTAAAGGAAGGCACACCAAGACTTACAACAGTTTACCACAACGTGTGGCTACATCCAGAAGCAAAAACCAAAGATAAAAATTCAAAAACCATTGGGCTAAAATCAATGCAAATAACCAACGCCAAAAACAAAACACCGATAGCCGATGGTTATGGTTTTGGTTGGGCAACGACCAGGGATTTTGGAAACTTAAAACCATTTGTGAAAAAACTAGTTTGATGAATGAAAAATTATTTTTTTATCCAAGACTTAGAGGTATTAAATGAGCTTGTTACAACAAAAAACTAAGTCTTTAGACAATGTATTCAAAACATCATCAATATCGTCATCTTTAGTTCTTCTGGATGGTCTATCATTCTTAACTTCTTCACCAAGTTTCTTAGGCTTTTCGACCTTAAGTTTTTCTATGTTGCTCTAAAGTTCTACATTCTCTATTTTTAAAGACTCACAAGAGGAACAAGTAGAACTTTGGTGAAAGGAAGAAGCTTCATTCATTTCCTTAATTTTATTTTTAAGATCAAGATGATCATTTTTTAAAATTTATTTTCTTCTTCCAAAGCATAAAATTTAGCCTTAGCCTCTTTGGTAATTTTTGAAGCTTTCTTAAATGCACCAAATAGTACTTACCTCATCTTCTTCATTGGCCATGAAGCAAATTTGGGCTGCTCCTTCAAGCACTTCGTATTTCTTACAAATGTCATCCCATAAATTCTTAGCTTATTGATATCTGGAAAACTTTTGAAGTTCTTGCGCGTCAATTGCACAAAGTAGAAGGTTAAGATCTTTTAGATCTTGTTCCACCTTCTTGATATCTTCTTCATTGTACTCTTCCTTGAGTTTCTTTACGCTTTTATTGGCCACCTTTTTCGTTGGGAGAGAAACTCTGTTGTTGATTACCATCCATAGTGTGTAATCAACGGATTATTGAATGAAGATTCTCATTCTTTCTTTCCAATTAGATTAATTAACTCCATAAAATAGTGGTGGCCTCGTTAAAAAATGTCATTCGCTAAAAGATCATGCGTTAAACATTCTCAAAAGAAATACAAATTGTTCTCTCAACTGGTTAAGGCTTGTAGAGAGTTAGGGTCTGATACTAATTGTTAGAAAAAAGTCCCAAATCTAGAGGGGAGGTGAATAGCATTTGAAACAAGAGTCACAGGAATAAAAAATTAAGAGCGTGAAACATAAAAGCGTAAAAGAAAGTACACTATGATTTACACTGTTTCACCACAACGTGTGGCTCGTCCAGAAGCAAAAACCAAAGATTAAAGATCAAAAACCATTTGACTAAAATCAATGCAAATAACCAACACTGAAAACTAAACGCCGATAACCGATGGTTATGGTTTTGGTTGGGCAACGACTAGCGGTTTTGGAAACTTAAAACCCCTTGTGAAAACACTTATTTGATGCATGAAAAATAATTCTGTTTTGAGCCAAGACTTAGAGGAATTAAATGAGTTTTTTACAACAAAAACCTAAGTCTTTAGATAACATCTTTAAAACGACAATGTCGTCATATTTAGAAACGTCAATGCCTTTCTTGCGCTTTAATTTTTGTTCCTTCAAATAACTTTTGATATGGCTTTAAATCTTTTCATTTTGTTCCATGTTTCCAATAGTTTGTCAATATCAAAGCCTAAACAGAAACAAACATTGTCATTAGCAAAACGTCATTGTGAAGACGTTTTCCAACACCTACTGCCACAGACGTGGTTTCCTCTCTTGCGGCTAACCATGGGGACTCATTCCGTTTGCTCCTTGCTTCCATCAAGGATGGTCCTATCAAAAAACTCTCAGGTATTCCTCTCACTAAGATATGAATTATTGATATCGGTGGTTCAAGTCACATGACAGGGGATCTGGCCAGATGGAAAAAGGGTTGCTGCTACCACCGTAGGACGCACTGAATTGAATGAGTCTATGATATTAAATGATGTCTTATTTTTGCCTGATTTGCGGGCCTTTTATTATTCTGATTCGCCCGCAAGTATAGCATGACCTTGCGTGTTTCAAGTGGCATAGTCTTACAAAGAGAACACGAAGAGAGAAGTCCTAGGAATAAAAATAAGTAGCAGGCTTCTGGACGCGTTAAGCATAGTGGCACTGTGACCCGCAACATTCTATGATTTGCCCGCAAGTACAGGACTAAATTCAAGTCTGATGGCACTAAGGAACGGGACAAAGCTCGCCTTGTGGTCCTTGGAAATCATCAGTAGTTAGGTGTTAACTTATTTATACCCAAAGTGTAAATGAAAACCCCAAGCCATACAGTTCATCAGTTTGTACATAACTAACACTAAGTAAAGACAAACACAAGAAAATAAAGAAGATTTTCGATCTCTCAAAACACTTTCAATTCTTTCATTTGCTGTCATTGATTCTTATCAATTATTATACGTCTCACATCATATCTATGTATTAATTATAATAATCTACTAATCATAATTTACTTTCATAGTATTTTTGAAAAGACAACACAATTTTTTTAACATTCTATAAAAAAACAAAATGGAAAAGGTATATTATTACAATGGAGCCAAAGGAGGGAGTACAAGTCGAATGAAATGACATCAAATTTTTATTCATAGGATTGAATGGGAGCATTTTAATTTTTAATGCACAAACTCACTTATTTGTCATTGATATTTTTTTTTTTATAATTATTCTTATTATTGTACTTAATATTACCGTATTATACATAGATAGTATATATTATTACACCAAACTTGTAGCTTCACTTGAAAGTGGCATGTGGCTTCACGATGTTACCCACCATCTCCAATGACGCGCACGGCTGATCCGCTGGAACCTGCACGTACATGTGCGCATGCCAAACCCAATATTAAAAATTTAAAATCAAACCAAAAACATATGCGAAGTATATATGTGAATTATGTAAATTCTGTAACTTTAACTAAAAAGTGTCTTACTAAATTCCAAATAAAGTAAATGAAACAAACAAGAGGGGAGTTATATTAACACTAAAGGTGGGTGTCATATTATGACTCTCATCGGAATTGAGACGCCCCCAATGTTCTGCTCGGAAAATTGATAGTAAGTATCCCTTCTCTTAAACCCACACCTCGGTCTGAAAAATGTTCCAAAGTCAATTATATTTGGGGATACAATTGACGGATGTCAAATTTACATGTTAATTATGATAGCCAGGATGGGTTTGGTTATAGCGTAGCTAGGGGAACTAAAAGTAAGTTTGGAAAGAACATTATGGTTGCATGTGTACGTACGTAATTCGTAAACCCTAGACAGTGAGTAAACTTACAAAGTGTCCGGCCTCAAGAATCCAATAGAAATGGAAGTTCTTATATGTCCTTGAGAAACCCTTTGTTTTGTTATAATTACCGGCACAATATATTGGAGTTCTGTTGGTGCTCAGAAATGTTTTTATTCCTTCCCACCTGTGAATTATAATTAAACAAATTAATTTCATATTACAAAAAAAAAAAAGAAAGAAAAAAAATAGTGTATATATTAGGTTTAGTTACGTACTTGAGTTTGTGAACCCAGGCTTCAGTTCCCTTGGTGGGAGCCACGAGATCAACCTAAGACCACCAAATCCAAGTCCAAGAATTACTATTTAGGTTGTGCTCCAAATTAAACACAGACCAAAATTTAGCCATGAGCGTCACAATTGGGACAAAAAAACATTGGTCAAAGTTAACTGAGACAAGACTTAAAACAATAAATAAGGACAATATTATTGAAGTAGTCTTTGAGATGGCAACGTTCAAGACCAATAATGGGAAATTACTAGCTCCGTCCCAAAAAGATTTACACGTTTTGACTAAAGTTAAAATTAAGGTAGGGATAATTTTGTGTTGACTTTCCAAAAATACTCTTGATGTGATGGGTAAAAGTAGGATGTGATGTGTAGATTATTAGGAAAAAGGTATGATGTGATAGGTATGGTTTGAAAAAGTAAGTGGTAAAAGTGGTTTTTTAATTGAAATGAGTAGGAGATTGTAGGACGCAATTTTTTTGAAAGGTGTAAATCTTTTTGGGACGGAGGGAGTATTAATTAATGAAATGTACTCATCCATGCAGGGGCATACTTGTCCAGCGTAAATAGTCACGTCCACTCCCTTGAGCAACAGTTCGTCAACCTACTTATATTCATATTGAAAAATACACTTCGAGTTAGAAATATTATTACTCCTTTTTTCAATATATTTCTTCTACAAACGTATGTTATAGAATTAATATTCTAAACTACATTCTAAAATAAATTTATTGGTATGAAATTTACATTATAATTCAATTTATTTTTTCTGTAATTTATGGTGAAAGTTTAAAAAAATTTAATTATTTGTCAAAAATAGAAGAAAGATATGAGAAAAAGAGAGACTTATAAGTCAACTAAATTTTGTGAGATGCATCAAATAAACTAAATTTTGTGGGTTGTAATTAAACGAGATGTGGGGTGGGTTCGGGTAGGGGTGGGGGTGCTTTACCGAGGGATTATGAGTTATGGGTCACTCTATGACATTAAAACCTAGGGGAATTTACTTACTTATATAATACTAAAATATAATGACTTTTTTTTTTTGGGTGGGGGCGCCTGGGTGGGCGATTCCAAGTTTTGGACTCATCCATTAGTCATTATTCAAGTAAATGTTCGTCATCACTGGACATTATTAAGTGCTATTTAGAGAATAAAAACAGTTTAAAGTTTATAAATATTGTACAAACATGATACTACGTAGTAGATGAAATAGTTCCATTGATTATAAAGTGTGTGGTATGAATCGTTACATACTTATTTTGCTTATCAACTCATACGAGTATGAGTTTAACAATTTGTTTGATTATGTTAAACTATTCATAGTTTCACGAATATATAGTTAATTATACACATTTCCTTGATTTGGTAATGAATAAAATAGCGTGTATGTATGTACCTCGTTGATTCTTGGCCTCATGAAGTCGCCAACCAAAGAATCATAGACACGAACAGACGGCGCTTCCCACCTACGTACCAACATACCAAACCATGCATCATGCATAACCTTATTTTAATGTGAAATTTGCACTAAATAGGACTAAAACATAATGACTTTCCTAATCTAGGACTTAAACTTTTCTATTCCCTAAATAGGATTTAATAATGTCTTCGTGGAAGGAATAATGCCCAGCAATGATGGACATTTACTTGAATAATGACTAATTAATAATGACCAAAGGTCCTACATTGAGAAATAAAAACATATGGTCCTATTTGGAGAAAGTCATTATGTTTTAGTCATATTTAGGTAAATTCCTCTATTTTAATTAGCTAACCCTTTTCTATTACTCCTTTTATCCAAAAATTATTTTCTTGTTCACTATTCAAAACTGTTGGGATATTTGATTAATTAATCAAAAAGAAAGAAAAAAAATCACAAAGAGGACAAAGAAGATCAAAAGTGGGATATTTGATTGACTTGGTGCATGTCATCAAATCAAAGTGAATTTTATTTTTTGACTCCTCTTAAACCATGCATGCTTACGGGGTATATTTTTGGTTATAAAAGCAAGGCAACATGTGGGTGGGTTTGATGCACACTAAGAGAGAGAAGGAGGGTTAAGAGAAAGTTGCTACACAAGATATCACCAGAATTGTGTGATGAGTGTAGGGAGTAATTATTATTTAGTTACTCAGAAAAATACATTCGAGTGTAGGGTGTGAAAAGTCTGTTTATAAGTGTCTGGTATTTAGTGCTTGTAATCAGGGGAGAGTTTTTTGTGTATCGTTCTGAAAGAGTGAAGATATATTTTTTTCTCTCATATTTTCTTCTTGTCTAGTGTGTTTATTTATTTTTCACGTTCTTGATATTTTAAAAGTCTTACGCGCTTAAAATCCCAATAAAAACATAAACGTTATTTACTTTGTTGACCTATTTTTATTTCTTATTTGATAAAATAATATAGTCATGTCATCTCTAGTTTTGTAGATCTTTTGATACTCTCTTCATCCTAATTTAAATCGCTTGTTTCATTCACGATGTTTGATTATTTTAAATGCAATATATTAGAGAATTAGAGTGGAATTAAAAAATAAATTTTACATATTAAAAAACTACATCAAAAGCTCAACGATATAAGACATGACATTACTATATTATTTTATCAGATGAGTAACGAAAATGGAAAAAGAAATTGAATTAAGTTTGGTCGTGTGAATAGTAAATAGACAACTTAATTTTGGATGGGGGAAGTATATATAGTAGTTTTAATTTATTAATTTCACATCATTTTTATATAAAATAGTTTTAAAATAATTTAATTCAAACATCATAACATGCAATAAGAAGATAATTTTTGAACGGAAAGAGTATTTTTTATCGTGGGTTGGAAATTTAAATACATACTGTGTATATAAGTCCAAAGAGGGATAATTAAATCGGTCCGGTTCTACTTAAATCGTAAAATTGACGGTTCATACCCCCCTAACCCACCCCC